TACATGATATTAATTTTATTTTTATATTTATCAGCAGCCGTATTCTCATCTCTCCGTTAAGCTTAACGGTGCGTTGGTCAAAAATTTCATTACGACATTTCTAACTAAAGAAATGACAAAAACAGAATACATTCTATTTATATTTTTCATTTTTTCCAGAGCTAACACGTATTTGTTTTTCAGAAGAATTTAATGTATAATGTTATATGATAACATAATAAAAATAAAATTTATCAAAATTTGTTGCTTTGTTTAATATTTACTACTCTCAGTTGTTATTAGAGGGTAAAAATTTTTTTTATTAATTATAAAATATATTAACCAGTATTTTGTGTAGGTTAACAGCTTTATTTTAAAGCATATGTTTTATTTGTATAACCTCCCAATATAATACATTTAACATGAATTTTTATGTGTGCAATTTTTCTTGTTTCTAGCGCTTTACTCTTAGTTTTCCAATATGGTTCTTAAAGCAATTAGGCATTGTTTTATTAATTTATTTTATTTTTTTGTTAACTAAATTATAGTTAACAAAATTATATGACGGGAACTTAATGTGAAAAAAATCATATACAATTTAATTATATTAATAAATAAAATATTACACCATAGTCAAAATTTCACCATCTTTTTGTTAAAAAAAAAAAAAAAATTTTTTAAAACTATAAAACTTTGGCTGTTGATAAATATAGTCTTTTTTATGCTTAGAGTTAAAAAAACTCTTTAGAAAACAAACAACTTTTTAAAATTTTTTACTTATAAGATAATTTTTTATACTTTGAAAATCAGTTGTTTCTCGTTTTGAAGTTTTATAAAAGTATATTTACTTTAATGTACAAAAAATGATATAAAAAAGTTTTTTTTGTTTTACTCAATTTTACTTGTATTATCAATAAACTTTTTGACATTTGTTTTGATTTTTTAATTCAATTTCATAACAATGGTGTGCATGCCTTATTTTCAAAATCATTGAATCAGGTTGCACATATCTCACATAGCTTGTATAGAATTTCAAAATAAGCTTACAGGCGCTGATATCAGTTGATTTCCATGCAAGCAAAGCATTGACACTGTACTTACACTCACAATTATTGTTTTTTATATTGCAAAACACTTATAAACTTGAAAATAACAACAACTATACATGCAACCATATACTCCTTCAAGATTTAATGTGTAGGGAGTATATGAGTTTTGCTAACTTCACATGAAAATTGATAAAGTAGAACCTTCAGAAATATAAAAATAAAACCAGCATCAATCCCCTAATTTGATTTTTTTTCTGACTTAGCACTCATTTAGTTTTTAAAACCAACTATTTTTCACTTAACATGAAAGTACAGGTAAAATTTAAATTTTTTGTTCAGCAATTTAATCTGTTTAATCTGATTTTTTGTTTGAAATCTTTGGGTAAAATTTTACGCCCATTTTGATTTAACTCATGCGTTTGTTTTTATATATTCACATATATTTGAGTAACTGTTATATTATTTGTATATTAATTTAGTACCAAATCTAGGCAAGTCTTGGTCACCAGATCTTTCATTTAGAGAAAATCAAGAAAGAAAACATCCTGAAAAGGTATATTTTTGATGTTTGTTTGAATACCAAATTTAATAAAAAATGCATCCATTGTGCAAATAAAATTGAAAATATTAGAAAATTTGTTTAAAATGTTGTTGTAGTCCAAAAGTAAAAGTTTCTAAAAATTCCCTGATGAACATGTGATTATTTCATTATCAGCCAGTGCATAAAAAACCTATTGTTTTCTATCTGATGAATAGTTTTAAACTATATTTGTATTTTTCAAGGTTTAAAACCCCAAAGGGGTTCAGAATCATGAAATTGAGGGGTTCTAGAACCCTTTATAAACATAAGGGTTCTGGAGCCCCTTTCTCAGAACCTGATTTTTCTTAAAGGTTTCCGGAACATTTTTTAAAACCCCACTTTTTAAGGATTCATTAGGGTTCAAAGCAAGCATTAATGAGGTTATCTTTGAGTTGTGTATTTTAAGAAGCACTTTATATTAAAGATAAGTAACTGCAAAGCTTAGTTTTTCTGCAAAACTGCATAAACTTAGGTTTTAAATAAATATATAGAATTTGAATTTGTAAAAAAGAGAAAAAACTCATTTTTTATAATCACATTACAAAGTTATCTTTTTACAATAAGCCAAATAATCTCATTACATTGTTATCTTTTTATGATAAGCCCAATAAATATTGCTATTAGTATGCTGGTAACTTACTATAGGTAACAAGCAATTAGTATTTTGTGTTAATTTTTATATTTTTGTGTAGGAAACAACATCATTCAAAAGTAAGCAGCATGATCTTCAAAATTATCTTCAAGCATGTCAAGAGAAAGAAGAAGAAGAGTTAGTTAAGATGGTATTTTTAAAAATGTTATTAAGTTTTTAAAAAATAATTTTTTCTTAAAATTATTTAATTTATATTTCATATTCTTGTAGACAATAAAGAATACTTTAAAACCTGATACAGTTGAAGCAATTCAAAAATGGCTTGGTAACGCAGATGCAAAGGGTGAGTTATTTTGGTTATTTTTTATCATTAAACTAAATATAACAATTTTTAAAATGGGAAATTGAAATTGATTTAGATAAAGAGTTTGCATTAGAACTTATAAAAACTATAATTCTTGAATCAAGAAATAATACTGACTCCAAATACACATCAAAAAAATCTATGCTCTCAAGTATGTATATGCATAATATCCAGTCACCGTGTCACAATCACATTCAGGCTCGTTGGTGTGTTTCTCCAAATATTAAACAGCATTTAAAAAGAGACCAATTGCATAAAGAAAAATTTTCCAGACAATGCAGTAACTGTCCACGCCAACAATTGGAATCAATGCTTCAACAATTAGAGATTGATTTACAAGAGTAAGGAGAATTAGTGCTACACATTTTTCTCAAATGATTTCTTTTAATATTTTATACTTTAAAGGTTATTTTTATATACAAATATTATTATCTATATATTATTAACACAGTTTATAATAAAAGATGTCTTTAAATTGTCCAGTTTAATGTTTACAAAAATTATAGTTAATGTAAATATAAGAATGACAACTGGATAAGGTTAACTCATTTCACTATTAAGATCAGCCACTGAAAATAGCCATATCTAGTGTACATAAATTGACTGAGGGTTTGATATCATGAAGTTTTAAATTAAAGATGATAAAATTTCATTTACATGATTTTTGGGGCCTAATAAGACATGCTTTAAAAATTTTTATTTTTACTAATTAGAGACCGTTTAAATGTTGAAGAGGCTAAACTTTGAGGCTCCCTTCAACATTTAAACAGTCCCTTTTATATAATAGTATATATGTATATATGTATATATATATATATATATATATATATATATATATATATATATATATATATATATATATATATACATACATAAACTATTATATAAATGCGTAGCGGTTGTCTGCCTGTCTGTGGACATTTTCGTTTTCTGAGGTAAACCTGAAAGCTATGTTACATAAAAAAAAAGTAAAAAATAAACTTTGTTTATAATCAATGTGAAAAAGATCTTAGGGAAAAAAAAAACATTTATAAAGATTCATGGTCATTTTAGTGAGAAAAATAAACGTTAAATTAAAAAAAAAGCCATTACAATTTATTTGACGTCTTTTGACGTCAAATTAATGTGTACAACTTTTGAATTGATAAAAAATTATGAAAATCAGGAAATTTAATTAAAAATTATTGTTTTCTATTTAATTTTTTTTTTTTTGGCTTTACAACCTTTACTTTTGTATCACTAAAATTAGCGGAATATATTTTATTTAAATTTGTTTAATACAAAATGTATTATTATACTTAAGATATAGGTATGTAGTGGGCTACATGCTTAAGTAGTAGCTATGTAGTAGTTATGAGTGGGCTATGTAGTAGCTATATAACAGGTTATGTAATAGGTATATATAAAAGGTTGTTGTAGCATTTGTATATAAGCTACGTAGTGGGTGGGTACCCTGCAGGCTATGTAGTACCTATATATTTAGCTAGCTATCCTACAAATTAAATTAATGCAGATAGCTTTTGACTTTAAAATTAAGCATTAATTAAGTAATATATTTAACTTAAATATTTCTTACTTTTGCAACTTTTGTTTTTTCATCACTAACACTAGTCTCAAATATTTTATAAAAATTTAAAAAAATATGTTTTATTATACATTTTATATAATTAGACAGGTTGTATATAGCGAGCAACATACTTATGTAGTAGCTATGTTTTGGGACACAGGCTATGTAATAGCTATGTAGTAGCTATCGGGCTATTTTAAAGCTATGCAGCAAGCTACATAGTAGCTATATAGCGGGCTATGTAGTAATTATGTTCTAGAAAGAATAAAAATTATTAATTATAATTTAAAGCATCAACTGATTCTTCCCGCGATTGTGTGGGCTACATATATATATATATATATATATATATATATATATATATATATATATATATATATATATATATGTATATGTATATATATATATATATATATATATATATATATATATATATATATGTGTGTGTATATATATGTGTATATATATATGTATATATATTAGGGTGTTCCAAAAAAATGACTTTTTTGAATTTCAACTAACATTGCTTTTCATAAGGTGCCCCAACCTTGATATTACTAATAAATTTTTTTTTTTTTATTATGATTAGATCACTCCATGACTTCCCTCAATGAGCCCAAAGGTCATTTTTTGCCCGTTTTTTGCCCATATTTCGGACTAGTTGAGGGGAGTGTTACCATTATCCAAATTAATTTTTCTTTCTTTTTTTTTGTTGTTTTATATTTTTGAAGGAAATAAAAATATAATGTTAAGCTTAATTTTTTTTTTTTTTTTTTACTTAAACAATGAAGACCAAAAAATTAAAAAAAAGGCATTTTTAAGCTTTTTTGCACTATATTAGTGTTCTGCTTATTAACAAGATACTTTACGTATTAAAATATTTATATTTACATAATAAAATCATATTTATGATTAGTTTCTGAAGAAATTAGTTGTCAAACATAGTTCATGTTTATAAATTTATTTTGTAAACAAAGAATTCTTTACATAATCACATTTTTTTTTAATTGTTCTTTCACTCTTATATTTGTTTGATACGAGGAAGGTACTTTGTCTTTTATCCTCATTATGCGATTTATTGATCAACTCCTATTAAAGAATATTTAAAAGTAATGAGCTTGTAAAATAAATTAAGATTTTAACATAAACATTAAGGACCAAACATATAAAATAGTTACCTGAACTAGTTTTATAGCCCTCTCACTACAGTCATTTACTACATCAAGATTATTCTCAAATTGTTTGAATTCTAAGTAATAGTCATTTAGATACCATGTCTCAGATGGAGTCTTAAGCCACTGTACTTCAGCATTTGCATGGTTTAAGATATGAAAAATTAACCAACTCTGGTCAGTTATAAGCGGGGTCAAACTTGGGGGAGTATCATCATTAAACATAAGGGAGTTCAGTATATTTAAATTAACTTGATGTCTTTCTATGGCATAAGTTGTAGGTCTTGGGGTTGAGTACAACTTCTTGGAAATGTCACTCCGTTCTTGTACATTTTTGTCAACAAGAGACATAACTAAAATATTTGGGTCTATGTACCAGGTGTGTCTCTTTAGAGACTCTATAACAGGTTTTGCCTGGACAGGATTGATTTTTGAGTATCTCATCATCTGCCAAAGAGCTTTCATATCCTAAAGATTTTTAGACTATGAAATATTACACAAAATTTTCAAAGAAAAAAAAGTAATAAAAAGCAAAATGATTAAAAACTTTTAAAACATAGAAATGTCACCTGATATGGAGCGACAGCCGGAATTTCAGCCTTTATAAACCACTCAGTGTAAAATACAGCTGTGAAGAATGCCATATCATTTATTTCTTTCTTCTCAAAATCTGTCAAGCTAGAAATGTTGTTTAGAAGGAGATACATTTTCAGAAAGTATATTCCCTTTGCCATAAATCTGGCATGGTGTACAGGCCCAGGTTTTCTTAGCCTGTACTGTTCATCACCAGATAAAACCATTGTTGTCAATTCCACTAACTCTAGATAATCAGACCTACATCCATCCTAAATAAGATTATTTATTTAGACACAAAACAGTACCTTACTAAACTTATTTTATTATAGAGTATTCACTTTATTCAAAATTTTAAATACCTTTTTCATTGTTTTCATTCTGATAATATTTTGAGAAAAAGATAAGGCTTCTTTGAACTGTACCTGCAGCCAGCTATCAGAAATATCTTCAATTTTTACTTTGTTTAACACAATGGAATTTTGATCAATTGAGTTCCATACATCTTTAAGCTTCTTAAACAATGGATTATCTGGACCATTTATTTTACTGCTTGGATAAATGTTCCAGCAGTGAATAATATGCCTTTCATAGATGTGATGCCTACATGCTAGGAGAAGTAGTGGTCTATCAAGCTCTGCAGCTAATCTAATGCACACACCCTTTTTATTACCAGTATTTACAGAAGTTGTATCAAAAACGCATCCTTGTAATTTATCAAAAATATCAAATTGATGAAGAAGTTTTATGATTGTATTCTTCTGTGTTTCTCCAGTACTAGAGCTCAAATGAGGAACCCCAAGAAGCTCACTCTGTCCATCTATCCTGATGGAAACAGCAAGTCTGTCAAGTTGATGTTCTATTCCGCTTGAACTCCTTAACTATTTTTCCATCAAAATGGAGAATAATTGGTAATGATGAAGATTTAACAAGATCAGTAACGTGCTTTTTAATCTTTTCTCCCTCTTTAGTTACAACTTCTGCAACTCTAAATGCGGTTGAAGAAGATATTGCAAAATTAGTAACATCACCTCCTGAATTAGCAATAACACTTGCCACTATTGCAGTGTGTTGTCTAACTGAAAGTCCTTCACCTATTGCTGTGAGAGCTGTTTTTTTTTAAATATTTTTTGGTAACAAAACAACAGAGGTAGATTGTTCTTTTTTTATATCTGCTACATATTCACAGTCAGAATTATTATCACTACTTGAAGAGTTTTCTAAACTGTATAGATTGTTACCATTGTTTACTTTAATCTCCATGTTTAACATGGAACACAATTTTTTGTGGGATCTCTTAATAGTGTACGTAAACCTTTTATCATTTGTTCCTATTCTTCCTATCCTATTTCCAATTTGGTCTAAGATGAAAAAATTTGGTCAAAAATGAAGATATTGTGTTTATCTAAGATAAACACAATATCTTCATTTTTGGCTTCGGATGTCCTTCTCCTGTCTTTTATAATATCTTCAATTAGTTCTTCTTTTTTTTTACTAATCCAAAAGCATTTTAACATTTCTTCAAAAAATGCCTCATTCCTTTTCGTATCTGTTGGGCTGTTCCTTTTGCTATTCTTCTTTAACTTGTAATAGTTGTTCACCATTTTATCAATCTTCTTTCTTTAAAATGCAAAATTTATTCAATGTTTAAAATAAAGATAAAAATAAATTTGTTGATAAATTTTGAATTCATAATTTACCTGATATTTTCCAAGGTTATGATAGGGAACCCTGCAAGACTCCATGGCCTTACCAATTTAGACATTACACAACAGTCAGCTTGTGGAAGGCATCTGAGCTCAAATGAATTAATTTCGAAATGACACCTAATTAAAACCGTTTTCTTTACTTTGGGATTCAAGTTTCTTAGATATAGGTAGTATTGCAAAACCTCTATGCCAGTAGGAAGTTTATAACATGAAAGATTTTCTCTAACTTTCTTTACTAGAAATACTTCAGCCTTATTTCGAGTAAGCTTCAACTTCTTTTTTGGTGGCATTTTACTATAAAATAACTTTTTTTTTGAAGTTAATTAGTTACTAAAAAGATAAATGGTAACCAAAAATATAAAATAAGTTAAAAATCAAATTGCATACACAAGGTAAAATATAATTGTTCACAAAATGAAACAATTATACACGTATTTAAAATATAACAGAAAACACATTAAAATGGTACATAGGACAAAGGTAGTAAAAGGTAGTGAAATATAGTAAAATAAATCAATGTTTTTGAATTTTTTGATCTTCATTGTTCAAATAAAAAAACAAATTAAGCTTAACATTATATTTTTATTTTCTTCAAAAAGATAAAATAACAAAAAAAAAGAAAGAAAAATTAATTTGGATAATGGTAACACTCCCCTCAATTAGTCCAAAATATGGGCAAAAAATGACCTTTGGACCCATTGAGGGAAGTCATGGAGTGATCTAATCATGAAAAAAAAAAATTATTAGTAATATCAAGGTTGGGGCACCTTATGAAAAGCAATGTTAGTTGAAATTCAAAAAAGTCATTTTTTTGGAACACCCTAATATATATATATATGTATATATGTATATATATATATATATATATATATATATATATATATATATATATATATATATATATATATATATATATATATATATATATATATATATATATATATATACATATGTGTATATATACATATGTATATATATATGTATATGTATATACATATGTACATATATATATACATATGTATATATATATATACATATGTACATATATATATACATATGTACATATATAAATTCATGTATAAATGTTCATACATACATACATATCAATGGCTATTCTAGAAAAATAATTTCGGCGTCAAATTGAAATTTTGCGGAAATATTGCCAAACATTTTTTTGGTTTGGCAATAATTTATTAAATTTTCCTAATTTGGGAGCAAACCTTTTTTCCTTCTGAAAAAAAAATATTATCAACTCTAATGTATGGCTAATGGGTTGTTCATCAAAAAATTACATCACCTCATTTAGTTTAAAATATGTTAATAGATTTATAAGTTTTGCAAATGGGCTCCTCAAATGATTCATTGCATAGCTAAAAGTGTCACTTAGAGAACTAAAAAATTTTCAAATTAAAAAACAAGAAAAAAAAATTTTACATAGGAAAATTTAACACACCTTAAAAGTTTGTATTTTTTTATAATTATAGAATTATAAGAAATTTACACTTATAGTTTTAGCAGCTTTCTCTCCAAATTTAAAGCATTAAAGTTAATCAACCTTTTATTTTAATATGTTAGTGTATAATTTAATTTTTTATATATATATATAAAACATCAGTACTTGCCATTATTATTATAATTTTATTTAGACTGCTTAAAATACTGCTTAATAATTGTTAAATTCTGAATTCAAAAAAAAATAAATTATTATTACATTAAAATTTTTTCTAGGCTTTCAAAAGTTGCTTTTAAACAACAATTTATTAAAAAAATTTATTTTCATATGCATTTTAATCTGAATTTAAACTTTAGATATTTGAAGACTTTAATATATAAAATTTTATGTATTTAATGTTTTTTCTACTTCACATAAAAAACTAACAATGTAAAGTTTACTTTTTTTGTTTATATTAACAGGGAGAACTCTGCAATTAGCGAATTAATGAATCCATGTATCCTGCCAACCAATCAAACATCCGCTATTCAAGAAATTTTTCATTCAGAAAAAAATAAACAATTCGATAAAAGTATCAAGCGACCAAAAAAAAAGACTTATGGATTTATACCTAATAAAGGTTCTATATTTATAAACGCTAAGCAAAAAAGGACAAAGCATTACACAATTCACCCCGAATGGCAATAAATCTGTAAATTTATTTAAAAAAAATCCAAGGCAAAATTTTTATTTTAAATTTTGTAGTAAAAAAAAATACTGCAATAATACTTGTCAATGTTTTAGCAATACTGCTGCACTTAAAAATATATATCAAGTTAATGATAATGTTGTTGCAGTCCCTTACAATCTTGTTAAACACTTAACAATGTCACTTCAATACCTGACGATGTTAATTTAAACTTAACAATGCACAATGTTTCATTTTAAAAAACTAGAAAAAAAAATATTTTACAATAAAATAACATTTTCTTTTTAAGTAAATTAAATTATTCAATTAGTTGGTATCCCTACTAACGCTATTCATTCATTAAATGAGTTCTCATGAGAACTTTGCTCGAATTTTTATTCACGAATAAAAATTTGAGCAACTTTGCTCGAATTTTTATTCACGTAAAGCTGAACAGTTACTCCAAAAGCGCGGAGTAAAAGCAGTTTATTCACCCGATCTATTATATATTATAAGGTTAGGGATCGTCTATAAATTACGCAATGCAAAATATATTTAAAAAACAGAAGCAGGAGATTTTTTACGCGGCTATTTTCATTAAACTTAATGGGCTATTTTAGTTTTTTATTTAAATTAACACTCTGCTAGGGAAAACTTTTGACCTTTTTTGTTTTGTTTTTTTTGGCAGGTGGCCATATAGTAAAATTGCGCCTAAAAATGAGTTTTTGTTGGACACTTGTAATAACTAAGTTTTTTGTTTCAATATTGTTAGAGCACGATACTATGAAACGAAAAACAGAAACTTGTCCCATTTTTGCCCAGTAGTTTTTGAGAAATTAGGGCTCGGGTCTTTTACCCCAAGAAGGCAATGGAAAAAAAATTTTGTCAAATTTTGTGCAAGGGATATTTTTTTGGTAGTAAATTAAACACTGAATACATTTTTTTCTTAGAACATTAACCTTAAAATGCATTGTTCTTAAGATAGACCCAACGCTAGTTGTGGTTTGAGGGGGGCGATGACATTTAATGATTTTTTTTTTTTCCATATATTTTTTACAACTACATAGCTTTAACAATACATACTTTTATTACAAATACAGTCAAAATGCTTTGAAAATAACTGAAGTAATACTAAGATATATTTGAAAGTAATAAAATAATGTAAAATAGTTTTTCAGTTTATATTTTGAAAAGACAAAAAAAGTCTTAAAAAGGGAAAAATTAAACCTTTAGTTATGTAGTCAAGGGAAACTCGCAAAAAACTGTGTAAAGTCTTATCATCGAGAACCCTTTTTTTAAACAATTTCATGAGATACTCATAAATATTTTATTCATTACTTATTACATTTTTCAATATAATTAGTCGTGTTTTTAGGAAGGAGCATAACATAAACATAACATATATACATATATATATACACATACATACACACACATACACACATACATATACATATATACATATATACATACACACATACATATACACACATACGCATACACACACATATATATATATGCACATACATACATACACATACACATAAATACACACATATACACACATACACATACACACATACTTTATATATATATATATATATATATATATATATATATATATATATATATATATATATATATATATATATATATATATATATATATATATATGTATATTATATATATATATATATACACATACATACATATACACATATATACATATACACATATGCACATACATATATATATATATATATATATATATATATATTATATATATATATATATATATATATATATATATATTCACATATATACACACACATACATACATATATATATCAGGGGCGGATACAGGATTTTTTGAAGTTTGAAATAACTAACTTCCAGACATGGAGCGAACTCGAAACTTTTATATGTTTATAGTTATATCAAATATGGATACTTTGCAAAAAATTGAGATGATAGGAGCCTGGGAACAAAAAAGTCCCAAAATTTTTGCTACACCTGCCCTAAACGTGAGAGCAACAAGTTGATAAAATAAGTTTTTTACTTTTCTCAACTAAATCTATATTCATCGAGAAATTTTTAATTTTGTAAAACAATCTTTTAGCGTTCAATAATAATGGTCTTATAAAATTTGTAACCCCCTCAAATTGAGGGGGATTCAAACTTTATGTGGCTATAACTTTTGAACGTTAAGAGATTATTGTATGAATTTTAAAATTTCTCGATGAATATAGATTTAGTTAAGAATAGTAAAAAAATTATTTTATCAATTTGTTGCTCTCACGTTTGGGGCAGGTGTAGCAAAAATTTTGGGGCTTTTTTGTTCCCAGGCTCCTATCATCTCAATTTTATGCAAAGTATCTTTATTTGATATAACTATAAACATATAAAAGTTTTGAGTTCGCTCCATGTCTGGAAGTTAGTTATCTCAAACTTCAAAAAATCCTGCATCCGCCCCTGTATATACATACACACATACACACACACATACATAAATACACATACACATACATACATACACACATATTCTCATACACATACACACATATACACACATACATAAACATGCACATACACACACACATACACATGTATATATGTATATTCATACTTTTTTTATTATTATTATTATTATTATTATTTTTTTTTTTTTTTTTTTTTTTTTTTGTACATGATTTTGATATTTTAATTACTCATAAGTTATTAGAAAATTTCCTGTATTTAAGACAAGTTTTTTAAGATAAGATTTTAAGGAATTTATATTTTTCAGGAGAGATATTGAGGAATTTTTTGGTATTAATTTGTTATACAAGTAAGGACCACGATATGCTATTGAGAATTGAGACAGTTTTCTTTTTTTAAGGGGTACTATATAGTTTCCAGTTGCTCTTGTGGTAAATTTGTTTATATTAGTTTTAAAAAAGTTATTC